CAGTGTGAGATTTTTAAATTAACACTAAATGATTTCCAAAGTTTGTTTCAATTCCAACAGTTCATCAGACATGATTCATTAAAAATCTCTAACGTAGTAAGAATTAAAATCTTTTCTTAAAGGGCCCAGTAGTAAATATTTTAGGCTATGGGCCATATAGTCTTTGTGGTAAGTACTCAGTTCTGCTGTTATAAAGCAAAAGGAGACATAAACAACACGTAAGCAAATGAGCATTCCTGGCTTCTAGTAAAATTTTACTTATGGAAACCAAACTTTAAATTTAATATAATTTTCATATGTTACGAAGTATTTTTCTTTTTTTTTTTTCCCCAAGCATTTAAAATGTAAAATTTATTCTTAGTTTGCAGGTCATACAAGCTGAGATTAAGCCTACAGGCCATATAGTTTGCCAACCCTTGGTCTGTAACAACAGGTGAATACTGTGATCTGGAAAGTCATGGTGGTAATTCTGGGTGGCCTTGGAAGGTCAGTAATTTGGCTTCAGCTACTGACAATAGTTGTTGAGGATATTTTTGTTTACTTGGTTTTTCAATTAGCAAAATTGAGAATTAGAAAAATTAGTCATTTTTGAGCCTCAGCCAATAATAATTACTTCATTTTTTGCTACATTTTCACACCTATAGAAATGCTAATAATTGCACAAGAAGTTGTATACAAAAAGTTCAGGGCTTACTGGCAGAAAGTTTTAATAGCCATAAAATGAGCAACAAAACTTTACATCTTCTCTTGAAATCATTCCATGCACTTGGTAACCCTAGTGACCTCTTTGTATTCTTCCCCTCTATTGGGCAGCATAATGAGTGATTTTATGCTTTTGTGGAGGAGGAAATGAAACACTGATTTTTGTTATTGTTGCTTTGACTTTTTTGTTTAAGAGACGAGAAAATAAGTTAACAAAATGACATGCATTCATATAGGGCACCTATGTGCATTCTACAAGTATGAGGAATACATATACCATAGAGATGTGGAGCAATGTGTAGAGGTGCTGTAGAACACAGCATAGAAAAGACATTTTTTTTTTTTTTTTTTGAGATGGAGTCTCACTCTGTGCCCAGGCTAGAGTGCAGTGGCTCCATCTTGGCTCACTGCAACTCTGCTTCCTGGATTCAAACGATTCGCCTGTCTTGGCCTCCCCAGTAGCTGGGAATACCACCATGCCTGGCTAATTTTTGTATTTTTAGTAGAGACAGGGTTTCACCATATTGGCCAGGCTGGTATTGAACTCCTGACCTCAGGTGATCCACCTGCCTCGGCCTCCCAAAGTGCTGGGATTACAGGCGTCAGCCACCACACCTGGCCAGGGATGACAATTTTTTAAAAAAGAAAGATTAAGGCCGGGCGCGGTGGCTCACGCCTGTAATCCCAGCACTTTGGGAGGCCGAGGTGGGCGGATCACAAGGTCAGGAGATTGAGACCATCCTGGCCAACATGGTGAAACCCCGTCTCTACTAAAAATACAAAAATTAGCTGGACGTGGTGGTGCGCGCCTGTAATCCCAGCTACTCGGGAGGCTGAGGCAGGAGAATTGCTTGAACCCAGGAGGCGGAGGTTGCAGTGAGCTGAGATTGTGCCACTGCACTCCAGTCTGGCGCCTGGTGACGGAGTGAGACTCTGTCTCCAAAAAAAACAAAAAAAAAGAAAGATTAGATAACCAAATAATCAGTCTTTTTTAGAGTGAGGAACACAGTTTTGATTCTGAGACAGCAAAAGATGAAGCACTATGATGACAGCACTTCTCTCAATCTCATTAAGAGGATATGATATCATTTAATTAGAAAACTATTAGTAATACCCCTCTGCTAGTTAAGGGGTGCAGTTGGAGAGTACTTGGGAGGTGGGTCCCCTCTTAAGAGACAGAAGACCTAATAATGTTATACCTATTCAGGAAGATGTAAAAAACTTTGGAGTACCTCCTCATTCATGTCCATTCTTTTATTTATTTTTGACATCCAATGACTTCTGAAGTTTTCATTGGCCTCCGACTCCCCAAAGGGTACCATGCTTCTGCTGGTTCAGCACCTCAGAACTTTGGTGTTGTTGGTCTCAGACACCACTTTGCCGTCCACTATCCTGGACGGTCTTTTGGATGGTTTGCATAGAGTTGCTGCTGTCCAGGGCATCACCACAATTCAAGTCCTCCCCATCTTCCAGCCGATGGTGGTAGGTGGCAATCTCAGCCTCCAGCTTGATCTTGCTGTTCAGCAGGGTCTTAGACACCTGGGCCTGGTGCTGCCCCTCCTCCCGGGTCTGTGCCAGCTCTGAAACCAGGTGCAGCAGGACCCCATTGAGCTGCTCCATCTACATGGCATAGTGGGTCTCCACCTCTCTCAGGCTGTTCTCCAAGACGGCCTTCAGATTTCTCACTGAGTCTAGGTTGATCTCCAAGGACTGAACTATACATCTCAGCTCCATAAGCGTCATCTCAACAACTCCTATTTGGGTGGACTGTGTGATGACCACTGTCGTGTGCTCCTCAGTCTTCCGGGACCAGTACTTGTCCAGCTCCTCTCGGTTCTTCTGAGCTGGCTCATCATACTGGGCCAGGAGGTCTGCCGTGATCTCTCTGAGGTCCTGAGATTTGGGGGCATTTACCTCCATGGCAAATGCCCAGAGTTGGCAATCAGAGCTTATAAGCCTTTTACTTCTTCCTGTGTTTCTTCTTCATGAAGAGCAGCTCCTCCTTGAGAGCCTCCATCTCTATCTCCAGCTGTGGCCGAGTGACATTGGTGTCATCAGTGACCTTGTGGTGCCCATTGATGTTGCTCTCCACAGACTGGCACATGGCCAGATCTGTCTTATACTTGATTCTAAAGTCATCAGCAGCAAGACTCTAAAGTCAATCTGCAGAATGATATAAGCATTGTCCACAGACTTTGCAAAGATATGAGCCCCTCGGGTCCTTGATGGTCTTGAAGTAATGCCCCTAGGCTCTGACCTTGAGTCCCTTCTTCTCCAGGTACTCTCAAATTTTGCTCACCAGCCTCTGATTCTTAGTCACCAGAGTCCCCATCCTGTCCAGGTCAGAAGGCCAGGCAGTCATTCAGGCTTTGCATGGTATCCTTCTCATTGTGGATGTCCCCCATTCCTGCCAGATCCCAGGCCATCCCTGCAACCAGGCCTCCAGACCCCAGCCACTCCAGAAGCTGGTGAAATGGGACACTGAGGTCCAGGATCCCAGGCCCCTGAGGCCTGCATAGCCTTTGGCCACGCTGCTGATGGACAGGGCACTGGTTGGAGCACAGGGAGTGGTAGCTCGTGGAGGTGGTAGAGCAAATGGTGAAGCTCATGCTGCCTAAGGAGAAAAGCAAGAGGACAGGATTCAGGTTCTCAAGCCCTGCCCATTCTTAATTTATAACGTAGCCAATCTGATCATTAGAAGTGTAAGGAAGTTAACTCTTCCAATCTCAAACTTTGAACTTTTGACCACTTTCCTCCTAAATATTAATGTCTCAGAGCCATTTCTGACCAGCTTGTCTACACATTACTTGCCATCATTTGTCTCCACATTATTCTCCAGATACTCAGTACTCATTCTTGCCTTGGCATCTTTGCTCAAACTACTTTCTCTCCCTGGATTCTGTTCTACCTTTCCTGTCCCTACTCATATGCTAGAGCCCAGCATCTGTTCTAGCTCTATCATAAAGACATACACATTAACTTCAGCCAAAACAAAATATCCCCCAAATAATACAAGGGAAGAAGTGCTCTGGAAACTACAAAATGTTCTGCAAATATGAAGTATTATTGTATTTTGGAGAAATTAATTGTACAATAGGGTTATTGTTATATCTTGCTTGAAAGTGTTTCCTAGTTGTTTCATGTGTGGTTGGCCTAACACTACAAAACTGCAGGCTATTATGACAGGAGTCCCATCTCATTTCTTGTATATCCTCACAGTTCCTAACGGCACGTAGATGCAGTCAACACTCAATTCCAATAAAATGAATTCATCAAAATAAAGGATGTCTTAGCCACAGAGCTCCTCACTGGGCCAAGTAATGTTAAGTTGCTAAACACATAAGAAATCACTGGTTAGTTTATGTGACTGCAAATGAAGCCTTGAAAGTAGAATAAATTTGAGATGGGCAGTTGATGAAATTCAAGCACCTTCTTTTTGGTTCATAAAGCTGTGATTCAGAATTCCTTAAATCAGAGATTCAGTGCTCTAGGAGAGACTAGATTGCTTCATGATATTTCTGAATTTTGTTTCAAGCCAAAGATTCAAACGGTACAGGTCTCCAATTTGGTATTGTTTTTATTATTGTTTGTTTTCCCTTCCTGATTTAGTGGTGGAGCATGCAGCCTCTGGTCCTACTTCCTTTGGTTGTCCTGACTGATGCATCTTTCAGTCTAACAAGCCATAACCTCAGAGCAAAGTCATGGCAAGCTTTAGCAGGCAGTTAGGTAGCAGCAGTCAGCCAACAGCCTGGGCCAGCTCCACTTTCAGTAGCCTGGCGGCAGAGAATTTTCTTGATGGACCCCGGGCCGCTTCCCCAGACTGTCCCATGGGTAGAATGATCCTTGCCTCAGTCTGCTTCGCAAGGTTAATGGAAGAATTAAATGTCAAATAAAATACGGTGAGATAAAGATGAATGAAGTGTGCCGTTATTACAACTGGTGCTTTGTCCTCAGTTCCCTCCAGGAGGGTTGTTGGGGACACTTAATGACAGAGCCTGAGCTGACTTGTCCCCAACATCTTGCGCCCCACTCGAGCCAGTGGGTTTGGGAGTGAGGCGTTCATGAGACCCCGGCACAGGCATTAATGTCGAGATCGTGCAGCTCTCCGGACTTCAAGATCTGGGCTGCTCGAACCCGCTGCTTCGCTGCCCGGATGCGCAATCTCTATGGTAACAACGAGGAGACCGGAAAAAAGCTTCTCTCTTCCGCCTAACAACCCTCCCTCAGGCTAGACTGACCAATGGCCCAGTGAGTTACGGAGGGATGGTGTGATTGACAGGCGGGGGCGGTGTGCAGCTCTGACCGCCAAGATCTACCGAACTGAAGCTGGTCCAAGGGCCAACAGGCAGCACCAATCGGAGGGCGTAACGAAGGGTGACAAGCCAACCCACCGCGCTCGGCGTTGCCGGGAGCCGCGCTAGGAGTAAGCTAATGAGGAGGAAGTTGTGTGTTGAAAGAGCGACGCTGATTAGTCAATCTTAAATGACGTTAATGAAAGCCCACTTGTGATTCGCTCTAAGTAAACCAGAGCCCAGTGGGCTGGAACGGGCCGGAATCTGAGGCGTGAGTAGGGCCCCGGGGAGAGTGGGATCCAGGTGAGATGGGCGGAGATGAGGAAAGTGGGGTGGCTGCAGAGAAGGGAGAAAGGTGAAGGGTCGGGCTGAGGTGATTGGAAGAAGGCGTGGGCAGACGGCGATGCACGGACCGTCGCAGACCACCCTTACCGCCGATCTGGACCCAAGACCCGGCTAATAAATACTTAATTGGGGGCAGAAAAAGAAGGACTGTTTTATGTTTCATGCTCTTAAGAAAACGAAATGTCAGTGCTTGATTCAGATCTCTTATGACCGAGACCTTAATCCCTCTCCAGCTACTGGGAGTTGGCCAGGTGAACATTCTGAAGACGAGACGTGGGGGCATTGTTTTCCTGTCTCCTGTTTGAATCAGCAAAAGGGTGGTGGAGAAGCTTAGAGTTCAAGTGGGGTGCTCCCAGCCTGCAGTGCTGTGAGATGCAGACAGCGGATAGACCGAGGCTCTGCAGTGCTTCCAACCCACAACACCGTCCAGGAGAGGGATGCAAGGACGAGACCTGGGTTTACTGATCCGCCTTTTCTATCAACGTGTTAAGAGCAGATGCTACATCGGTGGCATTTTGGGAGCTTGACAACTTGATTTTTTTTTTCTCCAGGCTTGTATTTTACCTAATTACAAAGGTAAAGGTGTTATTCTAATACTTTAAAATTCAAAAGATAGTGAAGTGTTTAAAGTAGAAACAAAATTGTGAAAGTTCCAAGTTATTTTTGAAGGTTTGGGAAACAGCTATAAAGCAAAGTGAAAAGGACTCTTCCAGAAGAGCACTTCACTCCTGTAACCCACTGTTGAGTGTTGCTTTGAAGGGCTTGAGTCAGTGTAAAATCGGGGGCTGGGTGAGCTGTCTTCCACCAGCAGCAGCACTTAGGCCACATTACCCTCTGAGGAATCAGCATTTGTCTTAGATAGTAAGTCATCTTTTAAGTCATCTTATAATGGCCGTTAGTATTCTCACTAATGATGATCAGCCTGGTGGTGAGTACTGTATTTTTAATCCATTAGGTTACCTGTGCAGAGGTCAATCAATTTATTCCTGTTTTCTCTGACAGCTGAATGAAAGGGTATGTAGAAACAACTGTTAAATGAACACACACAACTAAAAGATTTTGAAGAGACTCTTTCCAGAGAAAAACATCACAGCACTGAGCACAAAGGGAAAAAAAAATTGACCCTGTAGTTGCTCTTGTTGTCAGCTGCTGAACTGTTCAAATTTAAATTATTTTTTTCCAACTCCAATCTACCTGTTTTAAATGCCACAGATATTAGGTAAATGGACTTACCCTTGAAATCACATTGGCTAAGCCATCACTTCTCAAAGAACGTTTAAAGATGGCATCACCAGTAAATAAAAACACTTTTATTTTTATATTTTATTGTATTGTACTCAATAACAATAATTTAGCTATTCCAACATGGAAATTATCAGATATTATTCTCACATTGAAATAAGATAAAAATTACTAGATGTCCTCTCTTCCCCTAGAGCAGCCCTCTATACTATACCCAGCCCTTCTTTTCTATGCTTAGTAAGAAAATATATAGTTTGCCTGTAAAATTATCAACTCCACTCTTAGAAGACCTTGGGAATGTTTATCTTATTTCTTTAAAGCCATACCATACATAAATCCAATGTCTCATTAACTCTTAGGCTACTATGGGGGATTGAAGGGCAACATTTCTAATGGTTCCAGCCAGCTTCAGCTACCATTTGCCCTCTATTCTGTTAGCGTTGCTCCAAGTCTTCTAGGTTATTTGTGTAATATCCAGGCTAGCATAAATTACATTTAAATAGTTGTTTTCTTAAGGGCAGTACCATCAACTTGGTCAACTAAACTAGAAATTTGAGTCATTTCTAATACCTCCCTTGACACAGCTAAGACTAGAGTTCAGACCCTCAACATCTCTTATCTGAAGAACTGCAATAGTTTCCTAACTGGTTACCCATTCATATGCATTCTGCTACTCATTACCTTTCTTTTTCTTTTCTTTCTTTTTTTTTTCTTTCCTCTGAGACAGAGTCTCACTCTATCGCCCAGGCTGGAGTGCAGTGGCACGATCAAGGCTCACTGTAACCTCTGCCACCTGGGTTCAAGCAATTCTCCTGCCTCAGCCTCCCAAGTAGCTGGGATTACAGGCACCTGCCACTGTGCCTGGCTAAGTTTTGTATTTTTAGTAGAGACGGTGTTTCACCATCTTGGTCAGGCTGGTCTTGAACATCTGACCTTGTGATCCACCTGCCTTGGCCTTCCAAAGTGCTGGGATTACAGGCGTGAGCCACCGCACCCTGCCCTTTTTTAAAAATTAAAAAGTATACCCCAAATTTTAAAAACAGAAAATGGTACATCAGGTAGTATGATATCTATGTCCACCAATCGGATTAATATTAACATTTGGCACACCAGCTCAAGTTTTTTTATTTTAAAGGAATAAAACATCACAGATTTAGTTCAGATCCCTTTTATTTCCACTCCCAGCCCCATTCCCTTTCCTTCCTCCTTCTCCAGAGGCAAATAGTCTCCTGAAATTGTCATACATCATTTATGCCCATGTTTTTATACTTCTGATGTATATGTGTACATCAGAAACAATATATATTACTGTTTAGATTGTATTTTATTTTAAAAATATAAATAGTGTCATACTATGGATTCCATTTTGCAACTTGTTTTTGTCATTCAACATTGTTTTGAAATATATTTACAACAATACATATAAATTAATTTCATTCATTTTAAGTGTTCATTATGAATATATAATATTGTATCTATTTCCTGATTCATGAATATTTAGGTTTTTTTTCCTGATCTTTTGCTATTGTAAACAAAGCTGCAATAAACACCTTGTACATGTCTCTTTATGCAAGAGTTTTTCTAGAACAGTGGTTCTCCAAGGAGATATTGCTGCCTGTTTAGGGGTATTTGGAATTTGTGAAGGTATATTTTGTTACTCTTGTGATTGGAGGCACTACTAGGGTTTACAGATCAGGACTGGGGATGCTAGATGTTCTGAAATGCATGGGACAGTCGTCACAATGAAGAAGTGTCCTGTATCCTGTGCAACTTTTGAGTATCCCACAGGATACTCATTTATAATTATCTGAGTCTAGAGCCTAACTCCGGTTTTTGTATAAACATGATGTATTTTTTTTGGCATAGTTTAATATAGTAAAATTTCCAGGAATGCAACTCTAATGTAAATCAGGGGAAAATTATACTTATTTGTGGTTTGGAACTTTAACAAGAGTTGTTCATCACTCTAGCAAATCATGTAACTGAAGGCAGCACAGCTCGTGGTATTTGAGTTGCCAGAACAACACACCTGCATAGTCTGCATTTGAAGCTTTTGCGTTCGTGGTGATTCTAAGTTTAGGTGCAAGCATCTGACTACTGTACTTCATTATGTATTCTAGTGTAGTCAGCCTGAACATTTGTATATTTAAACATATGCTATTTCATTATGAATTGCTTTCCATTTAAAATCGACTTCTGTATATTATATAGAGATCGAGTTTTATTATTTTCCTGTTGCAGAATCATTTGTCCCAATACCATCTATGAAATTCTTTACCCACTGAATCATAAAGCCAACTCTGTCCTGTAGAAAGTTCTCACAAATTCATGTATCTGTTTCTGGGTTCTCGATTTTATGCCACTGGGCCATGTGTCTTTGTGCCACTATCACACTGTTTTAATTACTTTGGTTTTTTAATATGTCTTGCGGCAGTTGGTAACAAGAAAGGCAAGTTGCCATCCTAGTTCTCAAAATTGTTTTGGCTATTCTTGGGTTTTTGCTCTTCCATATGAATTTAGGATCCGTTTTCAAGTTCCACAAAAAATTGTTTTTAGACTTTGGTTAGAATTGCATTGAATTTATAGGTTAAGGAAAATTAAAATTTTGTAGTTGAACCATCCCATCCAGGAACACACGTTATTTCTCTCTTCAGGTCTGCTTTATTTCTCTATTCAGGTCTCTTTCTCTCTCTCTCTCTCTCTCTCTCTTGTTTTTTTTTTTGTCTTTGAATAAAGTTTTATGATTTTAGCTACACAAATCTTACTCACCTTTTGTTATGCTTCTTCATACTAACACAGATATACATAGCCACATCTTTTATAAAAGTTTTGAATATATTCGGAAGTATAGAAAATAGAATAGCAAACATCTACACACTCATCACCCAGCTTCAACAACTAGCTCATGACCACTCTTGTTTCCTGTCACCCCCTTCACCTTCTCTCCCCCAGATAATATAAAGCTTCTAAGAAACCCTTTTCTGTTATCTGTAATGTGTTATTTGTGTGTATGTATATGTCTTTATGATAAAGAGTCTTTTAACAATATAATACCATCTTAAAAAAATTTTTTTGCTGAAAATACAAACAGTAATTTCCTAATATTATATATTCTTCAGATTTCCCCAATTATTTCATGAAAGGTTTTTACAATGTTTTGTTTGAATCAGGACCAAAAATGGGTCCATTTACTATACTTGGCTGATACATCTCTTAATATTATTTCTGTAAACTTTTTAGTGAAGCGTAAAGCACATACAGAAAAAGTATATAAATCCTAAGTGCATGGTTAGATACAACATCACTGTATGAACAAAGCCAGGTGACCAAAACCCAGATCAGGAAACAGAATTTTATCAGCATCTCCCTGAACCCCCTACAGTCGCTGTGTTTCACAAGCCAACCATACTTCTGACCTCTAGCCCTTAAAATTAGTTTGACCTGTTTTTGAACATTATTTAAATGGAATTATATAATATGAACTCTTTGCCTCTAGTTTTTGCACTCAATATTTGTGAAATTCATCCACATTGTTGAGTCTAGTTGAGTGTGTTCTTTCTCATTGCTTTATATTATTCTCATTGCTTTATACTACATAATGCTTTTTACACTGTATGAATGAATAGATTGTAAATACTATATCCAGTCTATTGGTAGATATTTGGATTGTTTGAGGTTTTAGCTATTTCAAGTAGGGCTGTGATGTCTTTTGGTGAACTTATGTGTGCATTTCTGTTGTGAATACAACTAAGAATAGAAGAGCTGGATGTAGGGTGCATTTATAGTCAGCTTTATTAGACACTGCCAATAGCCTGCAAAGTAGTGGTTAACAAACTATGGCCCTCGCCAGCAGTATATGAGGATTCCAGTTACTCCACATCTTTGTTAACACTTGGTGTTGTCTGTCATTTTCATGTTAGCCATTCTGGTGGGTATATGAAGGTACTGAATTTTGGTTTTCATTTGCAATTTCCTAATGACTAATTAAAGTTGAGCACCTTTTTACACATTTATTCTCATTCAGATATCCTCTTTCTCAAGTGTTTATTCTTATTTTTTATCTGCTTGATCTAACAGTTTCTGAGATATATATTTTAAAAATCTCCCACTAAATTAATGGTTTTATCCATTTATTATAGTACTCCTGTCTGTTTTGGCTTTATGTATTTGGAGGTTTTGTTGTTGGGTTCACATTTGTTTCAAGTTGTATCTTTTCACTGAATTTTCCTTTTTGTGAGTTTTCTTATTAATATTTTTCAGAGCTTTACATCTATTTTGCTTAGGATCCATTTTCAAGTTCCACAAAAAACTGTTTTTAGACTAGTTAGAATTGCATTGAATATATAGTTAAGGAAAGCAAATCCACAAAAATATTAGTATATTGCTTCAGTAGCTTATATTTTATTTTGTTTCACTTATTTTTTTTCCAACCATGGCTAAAATAAATAAATAAATACAATTTTCTGTAACCATTTTTAAGGGTCCAGTTCAGCAGTGTTAAGTATATTCACAGTGATGTGAAACATCTCCAGAATATTTTCATCTTGCAAAACTGAAATTCTATACTCATTGACCATCTCCTTATTCCCTCCTTCCCTGGTTTTTGTCTTGTTAATATTTGCCTTGCATGCCTTTCTCAATCTCTTTATTTTCAGCCTCTCATTATGCTCTCTGCAGAGGTTTTGTACAGAGCTATTTTAAAAAAGAAAAATCTAAGAGAATTTCTTTTAGTAGTCAAATATAATGTTTCCATGTACTATGATTACTGTTGTATTTGGATTTATTTTTACAATCTTATTTTGTATTTTCCATTTTCCTTGCGTATTCTTTGTTCTGCCACCTACCACATTATCCCTTACCCTTGCCCCACTTTCTGTTTTCTTTATTTTGTTTTTACTTTACTAGTATGGAAGTTATTTGTTCTATTTCTGTTGCTTGCTGTTTACTTATTTTTTTTTTTAACATGCGTGCTTACATTAAAAAACATATTCTTACTCCAAAACAAAATAACTGTAGAATGCTTTAACTTTGAACTACCTTTTTCCATCTACTATATAACTGTTGAGTAATATTTTAGTTATTTCTTATTTTTAACCCCTCAAAAATTGTCATTATTACAGAAATCTTTACCGTCAATACTTCTTAGTATTTTTCTCACCATTCTTCCTCCATCTCATACCTCCTCTCGTGGTTCATTTTCCTTCTTGCTGAAGTATGTCTCTGAGTAGCTCTTTCACTGAGGATCCATGAGAAGTGAACTCTGTTTCACCCTCGGTATGTCTGAAAACATCTTTATTTTACACTTACTCTTGAGGGAGTCTCACATGCCAGCCTGTGGTTTTCATTTTTGTCTCTGCTGGGATCCAATGGGTTCTCACTTTTAGTCTAGTTTTCATGAGAATCTTTCTATTTAGGATTTTTGTACCACATTGGTAGTATTGAATCTCACACAAGCATATGACATGGGGGTGGGGAGGATTCAGATTTCTCTTGGGCTGTTGTGTTTTGACTTGTGGCCTGAAGCATCCAGCCAGCATTCTTCCAACTAAGTCAGTAGCAAATTTTTTAGACCCTATTTCAAAAACTGGTCAGCACTATGAGGGCCCAGCTTTCTGCATTGTTCTCATTTCTAGTTCTTTGCCGTCGTGGGCTTGAGACCTTATCTGCCCTGAAGAGAATCACCCCAAAGGTCTGTATCAGACACCAGCACCCCCATAGACTTTTAGGCTCAGCTCAGGCCTTCAGTTACATTTTTAATAGCACTTAACAATTTTCCTTTATTGCTTTTGAGCTCTGCTGTGTACTAAATTCTTCTTGTTCTACTTTACTGAACATTTCTGTGTTTGCTATTGTATGAGGCACTTCCTTTGTTAACTTCCATCCAGCATATTGACCAAAGGTTACAGTCATCTTTGTAAAACTCCATGTGATCCTTTCACTCCCTCACCTGATTTTTGTGCATTTGTTAGCACTGTGTCATTTATTCATCCCATAGATTCTGTGCTAAGAACTGGGGTTACCACAGAGAGAGATATCAGGTCTCTGCCTTCATGAAGTTTACTACTCTAGATGGAGAGACAGAAAATAAACTTGTAAACAAGTAAATAAAAATGTAACTACAGTTTTGTGATGCTCTGAAGGAAATAGAGTGATAGAGAGTCAGTGTTTGAGGGGTTACTTTAGAGAAGACACTCAGGGAAGACCTCACTGAGGAGTGACATTTAAGCAGAAATCAGAAGGCTGAGGAAAGCCACTCCTTCAAATAGTAGCGGGCGTGGTTGGGGTAGAGGGTTAGTTCCAGGCAGTGGAAACAGCAAGTATGAAGACTCAGAGATGGGGAAACCCTGGGCATGTTAGATTGACCAAGATGACACTCATGTCGCTCTAATGAGGGGAGACTGTTTCCCAGAGAAGTTAGGCATGCTGGTGAGCCCCAGGTCCCATCTCCCCTCACTCTGTCATCTTTTCATGCTGAGTCTTTCCTAAATGTGCGTGTACAGAGTACTTCCTTCATAAAGCTCTTCTCACTATTGGAGTTCTCACTGCACCACACTTTTACCATTAGACAGAATGTAATGTGGCCAGTTGTTTTCAGGACAATGTTCTCCAGTAGACCATGAGCTTCTGTCAGAAGATATCTTATTCACCTTTGGTGTCCCCAGCTTATAGCACAGTGCTGTATATGGCAGGCACATCATAAATGTTGATTCAATAAATGTATTTTTTTAAGCAGTTCCTGCTTACACTCTCCTTTCCAATAACTTTATAGCGTCTCATAGCTAATATTTTCATGGTATTTAAACCATGAGGGTAAAGAAAATCAGCAACCTAGAGGAATGTGTTTGCTTAAGACTTGTCTCCAATGCTGAAAAGGAAAACCAGGGAGGTGGTGTAATGTGCTGTTATTCTGCTCTGAGTTGAATGGTGGTCCCAAAAAATATATGTTCACATCCTCACCCCTAGAATCTATGACTGTGACCTTGTTTGACAGAAGGGTCTTTGCAGATTTATTTAAGCATCTCAAGTTAATACTAGATTATTTGTACAGACCCTAAATCCAATGACAAGCACTCTTATAAGAGACAGAAAAGGCAAAGACAGACACAGGGGAATGCCATGGGAAGATGGAGGCAGAGACTGGAGTTGTGAGTTAAAAGCCAATGAGCAGTGCCTGGAACCACCAGAAGCTGGAAGAGGCAGGGAAGGATTCTCCTCTACAGCAGCTGTCCCCAACATTTTTGGCACCAGGGACTGGTTTCATGGAAGCAGTTTCGCGCAGGGAAATGCAGGGGGATGGTTTTGGGATGAAACTGTTCACCTCAGATCTTCAGGCGTTAGATTCTCATAAGGAGCATGCAACCTAGATCCTTTGCATGTGCAGTTCGCAATAGGTTTCATGCTCCTATGAGAATCTAATGCCACCACTGATATGACAGGAGGTGGAGCTCAGGTGGTAATGCTGGCTTGCCTGCTGCTCACCTCCTGCTGTGAGACCCAGTTCCTAACGGGTCATGGACCATGCCGGTCCGTGGCTCAGGGGTTGGGAACCCTTGCCCTAGAGCCTTTGGAGGGAGTACAACCCTCCTGACACCTTTATTTTGGATTTCTGGCTTCTAGAACTGTGAGAGAACATGTTTTGAGCTGCTAATTAGGAAACTAATACATACCCCATGCTTATATCTCACTTACCCATTCTGTAACATGGATATAGTAATACCTCTCTCAGAAGCTTAGCACCAGGATTAAATGAGGTATGTTTGTATGGTACTTAGCACATAGTAGATGTTCAAAAATAGTGATGGCTGTTCCTCTTCTCTAAGGACTAAGGGTTTTCTTCTTGAATAAGAACTCAACAATAGAGTGGGGATTATCTGCGATTGATTGCTTGGTGAGTCAAAGCTCACACCATGGATTTAACTTGAGAGCTTCAATTTCTGCTTTGGCCCTGAAGCTCCCATTCCTTGGTGTCTTCTAGCAGTTCTTAGTTAAGGTTTTGTATCAAGAGAGGGTTCAGCTTTCTCCCATGAGCCGGGGGAAGAAGTCAAAGTAGAGCTCACATACCAAATTTGAAGAGAAACACTCAGAAAAAACTTCCGAGTGCACAGCAGAAATCACCCTTTTGGTCCCCGCCAAAGAGAAAGGCTTTGGGTTCTAAATTTCTAGTTTCCATTAAGGGACTCTGGGACTAGACATTTTTGAAAATTAATGACCTGTACTGAGTAATCCTCCTAACACACTGATCGTCAAAAAATTCCCTGTTATGAGTTTAGGCTTTCTCTGAATGCCTTCATGGGAGTGTGCGGCAGGAAGACTGCACTGGAGTGCTGAGGACACTTGATTGTGCGGCGTGCATGGGGAGCCGCCGCTGCCTCCCCGCAGGATGACTGGCACTGTGCTTGGAGTCGGTGCGGGCGTCTTCATCTTAGCCCTGCTCTGGGTGTCAGTGCTGCTGCTGTGTGTGCTGCTGTCCAGAGCCTCCGGGGCAGCTAGGTAAGGCATTCCTTCCAGCTGAGAGTCCTAGGTAAAGCAATTAGAGGCAAAATTGCTGATGCTCATTAAACATTTAGAATTTAAGAGATCAGTTTATAATTACTGGCAGTTTGAATGAGTTGCATTTTAACCTCTTTTTATAAGCACAAATTGTGTTATTTATGCTCCGAAGCAGAGATGGGAGGAGAAGGAAGTAGTGTTCTTGAGTTCTAACTGTGGAGGAGATGGGGGACACAAGAGATGACAAGAAATTTTGCTTTCACTGCTTATTGAATTTCTCAAGGTTGTACACGTGTGTTTCTGAATTGTTCAGATTTATGGCAGATGCTTCGTCTAGTCCCCAAGGCTCTAGCCCTGGACCCAGGAAAACTAAAGCAGCATTTGATGAGTTGGGCCTGCTTCCTTTATCAGGTGTTGCCTTCAGAACAGGGTTAGGCCACAAACCGACTCTGAAAACACTGTAGAGTTGCCTCTGGCAAGGTAGTGTTAGCATGAAGCAGAGAGTTGTAGAATTTTCTGTTGTAGAAGTATTCTGTTCTAAAAACAACAGAAGTGGAAAGGGAGAGGGGATGCTTTGGTTGTTCTTGATTATGCCTTTGGGCAGAAGTAAAAATAAAAACTACAAATTCTCATTCTTATGAAATGGGAATTACCAAGAATAAGCAGGAATGCACCCAGATGGTACCTGTCTAGGAAGAAGGACTTTGGGATGAAGAGGTTGTGGGCAGCAGATCTCTGAGCATTGTTAAGGGACTGAAACATAGCATATTGGCCCCAAGAAAGAGACTGTCCAGACCTAACTGATCAGAGAAGAAACTGTAAACAGTGCTTTTAATAATTTGTCTTTTTGACCCCAGGTTCTCTGTCATTTTTTTATTCTTTGGTGCTGTGATCATCACATCAGTTCTGTTGCTTTTCCCGCGAGCTGATGAGTTCCCAGCCCCAGAGGTGGAAGTTAAGGTAAAGCTGTTGGTTTTGTTTTGCTTCCTGAGCTGTAACTCTTATTTCTCTTGGTCTGCACGTCCGCTCTGCCCTCGATGCTCCCTGACATCGGGTTGCCTGAGATGTCAGAATGGTAAAGTTCAACCAATGATGGGGAAAGTTCAGAGGGAGTTTTAAGTTACTCTGCCCCTTCACTGAGGAAAAGAATCTAACTCTGAATTCCTCTGCAACCCCACCAGGCGGTTATTTGCCTGATTTGGTCTCAACTCCAGTTTGCATCAAGTTGAAAACAGCCTGTTGGAAAGCCCCCTCATACCATGGGGATGGAGAAAGAGAAAATGAAGTAGGGATAGTCACAGGCCTGCGCTTGAGATGGAAGTGTTCCCATTTCTGGCAGCCTGGGCTCCTCACCTCAGATCCTGGGCTGAAATTGATGCAGTGCCCTGAGGGTGCTGAGGGACATGTGCTAGAATTTTCCTAACAGTTTTCTGGGAGTTCTTTGGTCCTCATGCCTGGGACCATACCTGCCAGCACCCAGAATTTAAAAATTCTTTAAATGAATTTTTATTATCTCTCTCCTAGTCCTTCTCTGGAGTTGTGGTTCATTCCTGATTTGGGGCTCCAGCTTTACCATGCATGGCTGGTCTCAGACCCATGGGATCTTGGCAATGGCATTGACCTCTTCTGTCCCATTACTCCTCACAGCTTTCCTCTCAACCTTCATTTCAATGTTTTAAGTAATGATCACGAAAATAGCTAACATTCTTTAAGGGATTTCTATGTGCCAGGTCCTGTGCCAAACACCTTGTTTGCACTGTCTCATTTAAACCTCAGGACAGCCCTAAGTAGTATGACGTAGGTGCCATTATTATCCCCATTTTATAATAAGAATACTGAATCCGTAAGAGGTTAAGGTAACTTGGCCAAGGTCATATAGCAAAAGGCAGAGCAAGAATTCAAGCTGAGGTCCGTCTTCAAAATCATCATTGTTCAGAACCTAATAGAATATCCGGGGCCGTCCCAGAGAGCTCATGGGTTAGCATTTTGACACTAGCCAACAACAGTACACAAGGTTATACATGTAACTTTTGAACTAAAATCGACACTCTAGGATTAACCATGGAAAGAGGAAGGGAATTCGTTCTGAAAATTCCAAGGGAAATAGTACTTACCAAACAGACTTAAGAAACTGTTTCCAAGGACGCCAGTTTGTTGTCAGCATTTGGAAAACACTCTGGAGGTGTGAGTACCACATGTGTGAGCCAGGGGTAAATTCCCGCCTCATTTTCCTTGTCTTTTAAGGGGGAGAGTGATGTCGGCTGCCACATTTCTGGATGCTGCAGATGTAAACACTGGGAGAAGGGCAGAGAGCAAACACATTTTTAAAACCAATCCCTCGATCGTCTGCCATACGAGTTTCAGACCCAGGAGAGAAGAATGGGGTTTGAGCAAAATACATTTGTCAGCATGGCCAGCAGAATTGGAGTTCTCATTTTCAGGTTTTGAGAGCTGGCCTCTGCAGCAGCCTGGCTCAGTGCTGTATCAATAATACATGGCCTGGGCCTTCTGCACCCAAGGCCTGCTAATTGGCTAATTAAAAAGTGAAACGTGTCGTACGAGCAAACATGTGGCCCGCAAGAGACTTGTTCAGTACTGGAGCCAAGGTCAAAGTTATGTTAAAGCTGTTTTATCAAACTGACCTTTGTTGTAAGTTGACTGTTGGGGTGATCTCTGGAGCAGCTGAGGTGTCTTTGGATCTCAGTGATCCTACCAGGGCTCAGGTCTAATAGGTGCTTTGCATATGGCTGCTGTATTAGTTTTCTATTGCTGCTGTAACAAATTACTGCGAACTTATGGCTCACAACACAGATTTATAGCTTATAATTCTGTAGGTTAGAGTCCAAAATCAGTCTCATTGGGCCAAAAGCAAGGGGTTGGCAGAGCTGCATTCTTTCTGGAGGTTCTAGGGGAGAATCCGTTTCCTTATCCTTTCTAGCTTCTCGAGGCTGCTCATATTCCTTGGCTCACGGCCCCCTTTCTCCATCTTCAGAGCCAGTGACATCACACCTCACTGACCACTTTAGTTCTCATCTCTCTTACTCTGACCTTCTCTTCCACTTCCCTATTCAGCTCAGAAGGATCCTTGTGATTACACTGGGTCCACCTGGATTGGATAATCTAGGCTAATCCTATTTTAAGGACAGCTGATTGGCAATCTTAATTCTCCTTTAACATATAATCTAACATATTCACAATTTCTGGAGATTAGGATGTGGCTATCTTTGGGCCATTATTCTGCCTGCCACAACTGCCTTTCAGGTGTTTTGGATTCACTCCTAGGTACTGGGATTTCAAAGCTTCTGTGAAGTCAGTCAGCCACCTGGTTTGTGTTATTGCTCTAATAGGTCTATAGATTAAATTGCTTTTTCCTGCCCAAATTTAAGCACCAACATTTGGATCTAGGGAGAGTGGAGCTCTGGCAGGGGACAGTGGACAACCTATAACACCAGTTATAGGTTTTTGTCAGCAAAGACCAACATCTTTGGGGCCTCAAGTGTAAGGCCAAGCAGCCCACTGATTTGGGGCAAGTTACCTATCCTCTTAGTGTTTTAGTATCTCAGGTAAATGGCCATTTGCCCTGCCCCTTGGCATGGGACTCTTCTGCTGATAGCTTTAAAGAGTTACCTTTAATTTTGAAAATGAACTCTCCTGAAATGACAATGGATTGATGATTTTAGGGGTTGGGTCCTAGACATGGGGGGTTATCATACGATTATATTTTTATGTATGTTTAAAATTCTTTGTAATAAAATGTGTTTTAACAACAACAAAAATGAGCCTTTCTAGGACCAAGCAAAAGCTTCTCATTAACTCTTTCAGATAGTGGATTTCAGAATATAATTCATCCAGGGACTTCAAAGTGTTTACCAACCTCCTAAATTGAACCGTTTGTTCCCTGTACCGCATTAATCCCTTCTTGACCTGTGTCTCCTGCTCAGGGAGCTGAGGAAAAGATTCTTTTTTATCCATGTGAAGAGGAGACTCAGGGCAGGATGTTTTTGGGAGTTATAAACATGAACAAACTCTTGGCCCATTCACCACAGAGTTCAGATTAACCCAGCCAGAGTGCCTAAGTGGTAGTAATTTCATTCTGATGTTTTCTTTCTCCAGATTGTGGATGACTTTTTCATTGGCCGCTATGTCCTGCTGGCTTTCCTTAGCGCCATCTTCCTTGGAGGCCTCTTCTTGGTTTTAATCCATCATATTCTGGAGCCCATCTATGCCAAACCACTGCGCTCCTACTGAACACTCTTCAGGAAAATGAAAACCTGTTCTCTTCTTCATTGTGATGACACTGATGAGCAGAAAGTCACTATTCAGAGCCTTTGTTTTGACAGCCCTCATGCCTTAAGATTAGAGGAGTATCCGTCCATCACTAAGACAAATCTCTTGAGTCCTGGCTTCCAGAAACAGAATTGCCAAATTGTCTCGGTGGGGCTAGATTCTCACCAGCTTACGAAGGATATTGCTATCATTTTAGTACCTGTACCTTAGGATTTCCGACTGTTTTGAAAGGGAAATAGTAATGATGATCTGCTTAGAGTGGATTTCCAGCCAAGTCCTTAGTAAGTGGATTTTGGGGAAAAGACCACATTGGCTTCTGGTTCTTTTTGATAATATATAAAATTCTTCATTATGAGGTTGCAGTCATTTGCAAAGGAGAGGCACTCAAATTCATAAGGTTATTTTAATGCGATAATTTGGAAGACTTGCTCAAATGTTGGTCATTGACCACTCTGTGCATATATTTCTGCAGAGCTCTATAAAGGCAATGAGTATCACTTCCCTCTGCTCTAATAAAGAATAAACAATAGCTGAAAGGCTGACTTTCACTTTGAACTTTTGGCCACAGCTTTTTGAATCAAGTATCTTTAGGTTTCCTTGGGATTAGAGGAAAGGTATGGAAATATCTTTTTCTTTTGTTTGTTTTTTTGTCTTGCTGTGTATCTGCAGGGTTTTTTTCTTTCATGATGTGGTGGGCTCTGTGTGCCTTATTTAATTACCATGAGTTCATTTTTGGGGGTCTTCTCTTTTCATCTTTATAGCCCTTTCTCCAAAGCTAGTGAGGAAGGTATATTCTCAACATTAGATGTAACTCTATACCTGTCTGATCTCCCAGACCATGTGAAATTTGCATTAAATGGAGGGGCTCTGGTTAGGTTCCACTGGAAATCTGATCCTGACTCTCTAGAACCATTTGAAAAATAGTCTTCTGTCTTAAAATTAAGAACCAAGAAAACAAGCTGGAAAGAGAACACTGATGGAGTACATGCTCTAAGCTAGTAGCACACTAATTTCTTTGACGTTTAGTTTAATTTTTACAACAGTCTCATATTTATCATCCCCACTTTAAAGTAGAAAAAAACTGAAGCTTCAAGAGATTGACTTGCTCAAGCTTCACCTAACAGCCAGTTCGCAAACCCAGGTGTGGCAGCCCCCAGGGCTTGTCTCGGAAAGAAAATACACTAGGCTTAGTGGAACTCCGATTGACAGCCTGAGGTAAGTGAAGGCCCCTGCTCCTTCACTTTCTCTCCTCGATCCTGTTTTCCCGGTAGAGAAGGTACCCAGTCCTGCCACCCTAGAGGCAACTAAGCTCTAAATTCCAAGAGGAGAGAACAGGTAATCATTGACAGTCATGGGCTGGTGAGGGCCAGGTATAGTTAGCCCTACATTGAACAGTCTCCTTTATCTTATTTTGGAAAAACTTCGCCGATAAGGCTTTATACAGAAAGCTTCAAAGGAAATAGTTTCCTAATCTGGCCTAGGGCACACAGGGAAGAAAAGAAGAAACATCTTCTAAACAGATTGAGGGAAAGAAAAAAGAATGCATGCATCTTAAGGGAAGTGAGACAAGCTGGGGCCCTCATGGTATTGTGCTTCTCCGTGAGTCTCTATCCAGCCCAAGTGGAAGCTTGGCTCCTAACAAATCCAGGGTGCCAGTTGTTACCCTATTCTGAGAGCCTTGCTGAGAAAGTAACTCTGGGAAAACTATTATAGGTTCCTGACCATGAATCCATCTTTTTTATTCCCCGCAAAGATTACTCAACTATTCGATCAATGCATAATAACTGTGAGATTTTGGGTGACTATTTAGATGGGGGAAAGTGTATTAAGGTTGGAAACTAAATTATATCCTTAATACTACTGTTTTCTAATGGTTTTTTTTTTTTTTTTTGGCATGATGTAAATGACAGGCTTATATGTTAAGGACTGGCTTTAGGCAAAAAAATATACTTTGTGCAAAGTTTATTTCAGCTTGACCTACTGTCTACAGACCCAGAGTCTATAATTACCAGCTGTGGTGAAATGAATGATAGATTTCTTTCTACCTTCATACTCAAAGCAGTTATGTTAAAAAACAAAACAAAACAAAACAAAAAACCCTGAGGGGTTGGGATAAGACATAGAAGGCTGAGAGGGCTCAAAATGAATTTCACTGAGAGTTTGGCGTGAGACAACCCTATAGTCAATTTCCGGTATGGCACCCTGTATGCTCGTGGCCTTCTTGGAGACAGGGCTCAGAGGTCATTCCTTAAATACAGACAGAAGTCATCTCAGTGTTCCAGAACGATTCTTTGATCAGTGGCCTTAAAGCATGTTCCTGCCTATACTGTTCCCTATCCAGAGGGGATCCTGTGGTAGACTGGGGATCCCCACTGTTTAGAAGGTGAAGAGGGAGAGTAAATCTGGGTTTCTATATAAGAAAATAGGTCATTTCATAGCTTCTTAAAATTGTATCCTGATAAAAGCTGAATTAGCAGGATGCCACCCTATCCCACAATGGATATCACAATAGGTAATTTTTTCATAAGTTCCTTAAATTTTTCACTTATAAAAATGGAAGTAAAGCTAACATTCTTTGTGTACAATGTAAATTTAATGTAAAACTGCATCAGAATTACCATACCAATGTCCAGGCACTAGGGAGTGCATAGCTATTCCTTCACGCATCCTGCCATTCATTCAGCATTTATCATGTGCCTGGAGGGTGGAAAGCACTAGTCCTGGCGGAGTAAGCCCATCAGAGAACTAGGCTGTGAGGTGTCTACACTGTCTTCCTCACTCCATCCCAGAAGGAGGGCATCCAATTTATTTTTAAATGTTTTTATTCTAACATAAAGCAATCCATTTCTTGTTCTGTTATTTAACAGAAACTTTTGTATCAACTCCATTTCATGGTCGTTGCAGTTGAGGTATTTCTGGTTTATTTTTTGCTCAATGTGTAGAGAAACCTGCTGCGATTATTTTACAGATGAGAAACAGGCAGAGAGGACAAGGGATTTAAAAAGTTTCACAGTTAATTAGAAGTGGGGCTCAAACTTGACATCAGGATTCCTAACATCTCATTTCTCAAAGATCACTTTAGGCTTTTAAGCAACTCCTTTTTTTACATTGGTTAATACTATTTCTTAGCTATTTGTACCTTTTTCGTAACACATATCCAAAAAGGTGAAAGTTTTATTAAAGGATTCTAATGATCATTTATAGTACAACTAACAAACATTTGATCATAATTCCTTTGCTTAAACCTTTAAGTATCTAGCTGTTACACAGAAATGAATTTCCAGATGTGAGAATCAGAACCGTATGGAAACAAATCTGGAAAAGTGTTGATTATCCTCATAGGAGCATAAGAACTCAGGATCAGAAGAGATTTTGTAGATCATAAAGTTCAACCTTTAATCTCTATTTCCATCCCAATACTTGGAAGTAAGTCTAGGGTTCCACATGTCAAAATTATAATTTTTATTCCATTTAGCAAACATGTGCTAGGCATTTTTCTAAGTGTGTTGTAAGTATTATGTCTTCCTCATATTGACCCTATGAAGTAGGTACTCTTAGTATCCCTATTTCACAGATGGGGAACAGGCATAGGCTGGTAGGGTAAACAGGAGTCAGGATCTGAAGTCAGGCAGTTTGCTCTAGAGTCTAAGAGCCTGACTACCTTCTGTTTTAGGGTGTTGCTCCATAAGATGAACACGAAGGAAAAGGAGTGGCAAGGACAGGCAGTGCAAATCCATTTGACAGAAATACCAAGGAAAAGCAGAGCCTGGTGGAAAAACCAGAATCTTAGGAATTGTGGAGTCTGGGAGAAAGCCATGAACAGGCACGCAGGCCTCAGAGATAGCTTCACCCCTTTAGCCCTGTGTTTCTGGCAGGTCTCTGCTGTTAGACTTTGGTTTTCCCCTTGCTCAGACATACAAAAACAGCTGAGCAACTAGTAGACTAGGTTTTCAAGTTTCAAGAACACTGCAACCTCTCTTATAAGCACCATCCAGCTGGAATGTAGAGACTTGGGCTGGTTTTCAGAGGTACCAATGGCAGAATCAAAGCCACACACCAGGAGTGTTTTGTTTTGTTTTCTGCTTGATCTCTATCTTTAGCAGATCATTGGTGGTGACTGTTAATGCAAAAAAGAAAAAAAAAAATTCTGAGTCCTTACCCCCGACCCTCTTTCTCAGTTTCCTGCCACCAAAGAAATGAGTGCTGGGATCAAAATCAGGCTCACTGCCACAGACAGAATAAGAAAGTGTGTTTTTAATGGTTTTGATCATATCATGCTGGGGATGATACAGCCTGTGCATTTGGCCCAAGTTCTGCCCTTGGAGAACTCTTGGTTGAGGTGGTCACACAATAGCCCTTATGCCGTGCCTAAGTGCTACAGGCCAGCCCCTTCACTTGTTTTAAGCTTTGGGGAATTTCTTTTGTTTGCCTGTGGTTTTCTTCCTGCCTTTATATTGGTCATGCCCCAGTTTTACACTGGGAATATTATGAATTTCCTATTGCTGTTGTAACAAGTTGCCATAGACTTACTGGTTTCAAACAATTCACGTTTATAGCTCTGGAGGTCAGAAACCAGAAATGAGTTTCAGGGAGTAAAAGAAAGGCTTTGGTGATTCAGGAGAACCCATTTCTTTGCCTTTTCCACCTTCTAGAGGCTGCCCCCTCCCACTGGCTGGTGGACCCTTCTTCCTCAGTCTTCAAGGCCAGCAGAGTAGCATCTGCCAATCCCTGACACCCCTGTGATTCATACGGAGCCCTGTGTGATTCATATGGAGCCCTGCAGTTCCACTGGGTCCACCCTTATCAGTCTTTCCATCTCAAGATCCTTAGTCACATATGCAAAATCTCATTTGCCATGAAAGGTAACATTCACTGGTTCTGGAAATTAGGATGTGGTGGCACACTGTACCTACCACAGAATATAGGGCCCCTTCTCCATCTCTAAGCATGGCCTCCTTCCACCCCCATCTGCCATCCTCCACTCCCACACCTTTAAGTAGGAGGTCTGCTCCTTTGTTGCTTCTTAGGATTCCCGGCAGCAATTCTACCCCCACTCAGACACCCACGGTGTATTGAGTTCCTCCTGCCAGCCTCAGTCTTAGTGGTGGCCTCATGGTGCTAGGACCAACCAAGAGCTGCTTTCCCTTTCTTTTCTTTGCCTCTTGCCTCCTCCTCCTCCCCCAGCCACCCCACACACACTCACCCAGCCTCCCAGTGGATCTCTAAGGAAGAAACGCAAAGAGTTATTGCTTTTTAATTACAAGTGCTATTGTAGCATCTATAAGGAAGAACATTTTAAGCTTAATTGAGACCAAATGTGAAGTTAAATTAAATGAATAGCTAATTAACGTAATGCTCCTACATTAGCCTGTGTGAGTGCTGAGGCCCAGGGAGAAGGCAGGTACCAGCCCTCTGGTGAACAGGCCATGCCCAGAGCTGCCCAAATGGGGCTGGGAACTTGGGACCTGGGATATGGGTGAAGACAGGCAGATCTCAGGGCCGGGGTTCCTCCAACCTTTGGTATTTTTCCCAACTCCCTACTCACAGCCTAAGTCCTCATTTCTGAGGCCAGACTGAGCCCCCACAATGCCTTCTGCATGTGTCTAGTGCCAAACTTACCTGCTGTTCGGAGCCAATGCCACTTGTTCAGTTTTCAGTCTCTAAGGCCTAACATTATAGGAGTTGGATCAGTATTCATGTTCGCTTCCTCCCTCTTCCACTACCCCTTACTACCTTATCAAATGAATTATCCAAGTCCTGAGAATTCTGCCTTCAAAAGGAGGAAGGACTCTTCCCGTTGCCCCTGGAACCACCTCCTGCCAGCCCTGTTCATTCATGGCTGGGCTTAATGAACAGCACAGCTCTCACCTGGAGTCACTGTCTCTGTGTATTTTCCTATTTATCCCCTAACTAGACAAGCTCTCCAAGGGCAGGGGTGTGCAGAGGATGTTTGTCTCCCTTCATACTAATCCTATGAGGTAGGTAATGTCACCATTTTCCTGATGACAAAACAGGCTTAAAGTTAGCAAGCAGGGCAGCTGGGAAGAGAAGACCTTGAGAGACCCATTCCTCTTCCCCCGCCCTCTGAAGCAGAAAGCAGGCTGAAAGTCTGAAAAGTTAAGAGACTCCTGCTCCTATCTCTCTTCCAGGAAGCAGGATGGAACCACAGCCCACCCTGGGCTCTATGATGGGACTGGGCCACCATCTAGTGGCTAATGTAAGCATAAGCAACACAGCTTCTCCATAAACTGCTCCCTCCTAAGTAATGTTAAAGAGCAGCTTTCCTGAATGCTGAACATAAGGCCACAGAGTATAACTTCTGCCCCTGTGGGCTCTGAGGACTTGGAGGTCCCTGGCTAGAGCTGAAGTGACTGCAGGCAGGAGGAGCCTTCCCTGTTTGTCACCATTGGCACCTGTGCAGCCTGCTTTAGAGTGGAAGGGTGTGATTCTGGCTAATGCGCCAGCCCACAATGTCCCAGGAAATGCAACGCTTGTATCTTGTGTGGCTCTCTAAGCTCCCAGTTTGCCTGACACATCGTCAGTGTCATGAGCACCCCCGTCTGGAATGCCCACTGTCGTCAGCTTTAACCTACCCACCTGGTGGTCCTGGGACGCCACTTCAGCACCCCACTCACGTGAGCCCCGCTCACTGCTGAGCCAGGCCACCACAAGGAGGCACACAGGCACACAGGTGAAAGGGAATCTGTATTGGTGCCGATGGGCAGCTTTAGGGTCAGATGGAGATGCCAAGAGCTAGCCAGAAGACAGCGAGTGATCCAGGACTTTGTGGGGAGGAAGGATGTTGAAAAGTGGAAAAGGGGGGCAGCAGATGGCTCCAAGCGACTGCACCTGCAGCAGCTGCCCGAATGAACCATGCAGTGCCCTCACGTCTTGCCAGTCTTGGCACCGTTGGCACCTGTGCTCAGGGCGTAATTCCTTTTCGTATCCATTGTCTGCTCCATTCCTACAGCAGAGCTGGCACACGGTAGGCACTCCTTAGCATTTCATTCTCAAAATAATACACATACTAGAATTTGTAGTCATGCCAACCCCTCTTTCTACTCTCCCAACAGCATTGGCCCCCAGTCACCTTCCACTGAGGACATTCTGGGGCCAGTGAGGCAAGGGAAGCACTCAGGGCCAGCACGTGCCGAAGAGGGAGTGCCCCCTCAAATGATGTACCCAAGGCAGCTCCCTTGCCTCACCCGAGAGCTGGCCCTGGAGGAACAGCATGATGGGTGGGTAATGGAGTTATCAACAGGACCGAATGGAGAGGGCCCAGCTTGGGGAAATGCGCAGAGAAGACCATTTCATGGGTAGAGGGACAAAGAAAGGCAGGGCTCCTTTGATGGAGTGAGGTGCCCACCTATAGATACAGGTGGATTACAGAGGTTAAAATTTAACATGGGAAGGAGAGTTGCACATTTTCCAGGCCTTGACCTTGTAGAGCCTTCTGTCTTGGAATCTGAACAAGCAAGAGTCTGAGCATATCCTTCCCTATCAAAACGGAGACATAACTCAGCCCAGTCCCACCCCTTTTGCTTGCAGCTTCCAGAGCTCAGGCCCTTGAATCTTCTATTTCCTCATGCCTGGCAGTCCCCTTCCCATGGAAAACATTCCTAAGCCCTGGGTCTGGGCTGGGCTGGCTGTTCAATAAAGAGGGTTTGCCTCCCCTCCTTGTGGAAGTTTCGGTGGTTGTGCCCATGGGGAGCACACTGGGGACCCAATGGGGCCTTCCATGCTGCTCTTCCAATTGCGGCCTCATATTTCTTTATACCTGCATGAAGAGGAGAGAGGGGACGGAAGAGAAAGTGAGGCGACTTCATAAGCTCCTGCCCATCAGGGAGAGGAAAGGCAGGTTCCTAGGGTCCCTTCATGATTGCCTTTCATCTCAATTCTCTGTAATTAGGTCTCCTTTCACCTCTCAGGCACAAAATAGTAAGCCAGATTAATACTTAAAACCTTACAATGTTTATGCCACATTTACGACTTTACAAAGCAACATCACATACCCCACCTTATCTCAGCCTCAGATCAGTTTCACCAGGTATTCAGGGATAAGCACCCCCATTCATACATAAAGATGTGGCAGTTCAGAGAATCTGGGTGCCACGCTCAAGGTCTCATGGAGTGAGTGGAGAAGGCAGGACTGTCCAGGGACGTTTGGACTCCAAGCCCAGTGCTCTGTCTGCTCTGACAAATCACTGCACACCCTACAAACGGGCCTCACGCAGAGAAGGACCAGCCTGGGACAGTAGTGGCAGTCCAGTGAAAAGCAAACAACCTCAGGCCCAGGTTGAGTGTTAGGCTGTGCCTGAGCTCTGAGCCGCTGTCTCATCTCCAGTGAGAGCTGCTGCGAGGCAAGCTCGCACGTCTAAAGCCAGGCACAGAGCAGTTGCTCAGTAAACACTCCTCTCTCTCTGGTGCTCTTCTTCCCCTCCCACCCTCAGGCCTGGCTCTGAGGAGCACAGGCACAGGAACTCTGAGTCAAGCAGTCCAGTCCCCTGCTCCCCTCTTCCAGGGCAGGGCAGGATGGGTGCTCTGAATGCTTCCTGCATTGTGTCTTCCTGCTCTTACTTTTTCTTCCTTAAGTGGAAGTGCATCCCCAGATACATGCTGGTTACCATGACCCAGGTGTTCCTCCTCACATTTGCTATCCAGCCCAGGTCCACAGCTCCGGCCAGCTCATTAGCGACCTCCTTCTTAGCACAAGGCTCCTGCTCAGGGTCGCCCGACCATCAGACCACCAGCACCGTGCAGTGTCAGTCACTAACCTACTAGTGCCACCACCACATTCACCACCACCAGACAATAGGCAGAGAGCACACCAGGCCAGCCACCCGTGCTTGATTCACATTTGTTTCAGAGGCTTTGATTGGTAGTTGCTTTTTTTCTGCATGCCAGGCAGAGGGGCCTTCCAGGCAGAGGGGCCAGATGACCTTGGTTTCTGAACTTCAGGAGGCACCTGCACCTCAGGCTTAGTTCAGAGGGAAACTGGTTTCCCTATCTCTGTCCCTCTGTTCCCGGAGGGCATGTCCAAAGTTCTAACAGTGTCCCTCAGGGAAGAGGCTGCCAACCTCTGTGGCATCTCAGACCCCTTGGAAAACACTTCCCAAGCACCTGACTCCGCTGAGGTTGAAAGTCTGTACAGCTAGCCCACAAGAAAAAAGAGAAAGGTGGAGAAAGTCATACCGTAGGACAGAGGATTTGCATGCAGCCCCCCATTCAAATGGCACTTGAGTCACAGACTCAAAGCAAATACTCACAAAAGTCATGGGACTTGAGGAAAATACTATCGCTGGTGGGTTAGGACCATACTAGAGCTATGGAGACACACGGGGACAACAGAGGACAGGTCAGCCAAACAGGGGCTACCCAGGGACTGGCTCAGTGCTCCTCAGGTCTGGGCTGGACAAGCCTCAGCCTGCGTTTGGAGATGCTGAGCACTAGGCTGATTCCTGTGAGAAGTAAGGCTAGCAGGGGGCAGCTTCAGCTCCCTGGAGGACTCACCCACTGCCTCTGCTCAGGGACACTTTCCAGGCCAAGATCTCTTTGTACACTAACCGGCAGAGGAGCTGTGGAGCACAACACACAGAGGGAAGGGAGGGCACCATTAGCACTGAGCACTGAGTGCCCAGCACCAGGTGACCCGCAGATTGGCAGTGGAGAAGGGAGAGACATACTCCCATTTGGCAAGGGGTCACCCAGGGGAGGGAGAGGGCTCTGAGCAGAGGACAGCTGCTCTCATTGTCCCAGAACCCCCACTGGCCAGTGCTTTGGACCTCAGGGTTCCAGCCTGGCAGGACAGAGCATCCCCCAATATCTATCTGTGTACCCCAAGATTCTTACCAAGCAGGCTAGGATGTCGGCAGAGATGAGCATGTAGAAGACATTGTTCCAGCCCGTGGGGGAGATAAGCCCAGCCAGCAGAGGCCCCAGAGCTGCGCCTGAATGGAGCACAGCCTCATGAGCAAGGGGCCCTGTACCTCCCCTGCCCACCGGAGGGCATTATGCCCAGGGGCCTGCCCATGACAGAGGTAGGGTCACAGACCTATGGAGCCAGTGCCGTCAATGATGGCTGTGACCGTGGACAGGGCCTTGGCGTTGCCCTTCAGGCTCTTATGCGTCCCCTGGGGAGAGACAGCGGAGTGGGGAGGCCCAGCTGAGCAGTAGCATCAAGGGAAGCAGGGCAGGGGAGGGGCTGACTCAAGGAAGCTGGTGACTGGGGTTTGGGCTTCAGAGGACAGGGGCCCATGGTGCATTATGTAGGACTTTTAGGGTCTCTCTTCTGCAGGATGGGAGAGAGAAAAGTAGACCTGGATATGGTGGCCCTGACCAAGCCCCTACGGTTGTCCCTGTCCCTCACGAGGTAGCCCCACTTACCAGGTCAGCAGAGACAGCAGTGGTGATGAGTGCGTACGGGCCGTTGACCAGGCCTCCACAGATGATCAGCATCACTGGGATGCACAGAGACAGCTCAGTCAGACGGGAGGCGCCACCCGCAGCCCCCACCCCAAGGCAGGAGCACTCTCGGGCCTTCAGCCCTCCCAGCAGCTCCACCCGCTGGTGCCCCCATGTGGGACAGCCTCATGGGGCCCCCAAGGTGGTGCCTTTTCCATGGCCTGGCAGGACTGGCAACCTCCTCCTCACCTATGGAGCTAGTAATCCCGTCCTGGCCAATGTGGTTGTACAGGAACATCTGAGAGAGAAGAGGGAGGAGGCAGAGTCACCCGGAATCCCCTCGCCAGCCTGGAGCCCTGAAGTCTGGAACAGCCTTCTCCTGCCCTGGAACCCCAGAGGGTATCTTATTCCTTTTCCCTCGCATACCCAGACTTCTCTGGTCTTTACATGTCCCAGGGACGGACGGTCTAAAACATAGTACTCTATCATCTCCCTTTCTCCAGTCTTCTCAGATTCAACCTCAATCTCTTCTTTCCTTGATCAGGAAGTTTAGGAGGCGGTCTCCTTCTCCACCAAGACCAAACAGTCATGAATCCCCCTCTAAAGTCTGCAGTCTGGATCCGTTTCCAGGGTGCCTCTGCTAAGCCTTGCTTCTCCCCCGTGTGTGCACAGGGATGCAGGTGCACAAGTACACAGAGACAGCCATGTGTGTAACACGTGGGTCAGAGGCCCACATGGTCTCCTGCTCACATGCACTCACACTTTACCCTTGAGGTTATACGCACCATGGGGGCAGCCAAGATGAGCATGACGCAGCAAGTGGTGGCCCTGCCGTTGGTGTAGTCAGAGATGAGCCCTGCCATGATGCCGCCTGGAACACACACCCACTCACACACTGCCTCCCAAACAGGACCACGCCATCCCCTTGCCTGGCACCCCAGCTGAGCCCCAGCGCTGGCCGGGGCCTGTCAGCAAGAGCCGGCAGAGTTGCTTTCTCCACAGCCCTCCCTTCCTGTAATGCCCATCACTACCGGGCCCAAACAAAAGGGCATCTTTCTTAGGCCCACCCAGCCAGGCGGAAGCAGAACTCAGAATAAACCCAGGAGCCATTTTTTCTCTATTACTACCTGCCCCGGTCATAGCCCATCGGACCTGTCCCTTATTCCTCCACCCCACAAGGAAAGAGGGGAAGGGAGCCTGTGGGCAAAGCAGGGCAGAGCCTCACCTATGATGCCACCAGCATCGAAGAGTGTAGACAGGTCCCCAGCCTCCTTGGCACTAAAGTGAGCTGTGGAAAACACAGGTATATGGTCAGACCTGGGGTTCGGGGCAAACATCCTGGAGTGTCACAGCTAGAAGCCCTGCAGAGCGTGATCCAGGCCGCTGCCCCCTTTTCTGACGAAGAGCTGAGGACCTGTGGAGCAGGCTGGCCAGGGCCACAGTGTGGGAGTGTGGCAGTTTGGGCAGACGCCCTCCTGGTCCCGTCCCATATTGCCTTCTTCCCCTGCAGGATGACCTTCTCCTCTCAGAACAAGCCCTCCCTGGCAAGCGCTGGGATCCAGCCCCTGAGCACCCTGACCCATAGCCACCTTTCCCTTGGAGCACAACTTGAGGCTCACCCCAGTCCTTTCTCTGCTTCACTCTGGCCCTAGCAGCCCTAGGAGCTCTTCGCATTTACATACACAGAGCCAGGAAGGACACTTGCAGGGAAACAGGGGCCTCAGGTCACAGGCCTCGGCTCCATGTTTAAAAAAAGGAATGTCCAGAAGCTGGGACTGTAGCTCCACCCTCAAGGTTGCCTCATACTCTGAAGTCAGCACCAAGGCCACAAAACAGAGTCACAGTGTCCATGAAGCTGCCCTAATGCTCCACATTATTACAGAGAGAGGCCCCAACAGAGCTGCGGGGCAAGCTACAGCTTGAGACTTGGCTGTGACTAATTCCTACAGTATCCTGTTCAGAGCATGTACAATGTGTGGCAAGGTGATGATGTTCCTCCCCAGGGCTGGGAGGGAGGGGAGCAGTTCTGGGTGACAGACCCTCAGCCCTGGTGAAGCTTGGAGGCTCCGGGGGGCTGGACAGGGTGGGGTGGGCTGCTCCTTGGTAGAGCAGCCTGACCTATGGAAAAGCAGAGACCCAGGCCAGGTGTACAGGAAACATCCTTTTTCAAGTGATCTCATCTGTACATCCCTGGGCAGGGGCAGCAGGGAGTAGGTCCATGAGACAGAGACAGCCCAGCAGGCGCAGGGACAAGGGCTTCCATCCCATGAAGTCCCACTGGGAGAAGTGTACCATGTTCACCAGCAGGCTACAGGGAGTGGGGCCGCTCACCAGGCCTCTCCCTTGGACTGGGGGAGATACCCAGCAGGCAGGCCTTTCCTAGCACCTCCCAACCCTACCACCTATGAGCCAAGCAGCCTGGAGAGGGTTTCTCCTACACTAAGGGCTAGAGGAGATAGCAAGAATTGCAGAACAGAGTTCTGAGTTCCCAATCCCCAGCTCAGTTCCAAGGGAGGGAAGGTGCCTGGAGTCAGGGTGTAGGGGGGAGTGTGCAGGGTTTAGCTTTCACTTAAATAAAGAACTAAATCAATCTCCTTTCACTCTAGAAGAGGTTCAGAGGAATCCTGACTATATACTGGAATCACAGGCATCACCACGAGAGGCTTCGTCTCCCACCAGAGGTGGCCTTGGCCTCCTCAGAGACCTCTTCATTCCCCTTCTCCTCTCTGACTTACCCACATTGAAGATGTAGAGGGGTAGCCAGTAGAGGAAGGTGTAACTGACCAGCTTGGCAAACAGCAGACACAGGGAGAATTCGACCACGCCCTGGGGAGCGTAACAGAGGGCACATGGAAAGGGGTCCAGAGGTCCTGGGTTCAGTGGTGGCCCCGAGGGGTGCTCAGCACCACCCCAGTGCTTTCCATCACCTGTCACACAAGGCATCCTCCAATACATCCAGTCCCAATAAAAGCAACGTGGCCACTGTGCAAAGTTGTTTGAAGACAAGTCTCCCACGGCACCCACCCCAAGCAGTCTGCCCAACTTACACCACCCCTATAAAGAAGTTCTAGAAAAATAGATCACCCAAGCACCCCATCTCCTCATTGCCAACAGAAAAATCTAGAGAGCCCCTCTCTTTCCTTCATTCTACAAACTTACTGGGATCCGGAGCGCGCCAAAGAAGCTGATGGCAGCAGGCTCTTCACATGGCTCCTTGGAGCATTTGGCCACAGTCTCAAGGCTGCTCTCCCTGATAGAGTAGGGACTGTTCCCAGGGTCCTCAAGGTTGTCCTGGTTCTCAGTTGGCTCGCTCTGAGCAGAGGAGATGAACCCTGCTATGGGTGCATCCCTGTGCTGCCTCCATGTGCCACCTCCCCCTAGCTGGCAGCACAGCCCTGGCAGGAGACAGGGGCTCCCAGGATGGGGAGGCACATGTTCCTCTCGGGTGGAGTAACCTGCCAGACCTATCAGGCTGTGGGGCCAAACCACCGGCCTAGCACGGGGTCTGTGAGGTCAGTGAGGGCCAGAACTCCCTGCTCTAGCTCCTTGGGCCTCTCTGGGTCCAGCCCTCTGGATGGAGTTGGAGGTCAGGGATGGGGCTGGGAGGACTCACACTCACATGGTGTTGAGGAGGGGTACAGTCCACATCTTCTGGGTCTGGAAAATAGAATCACCTTTTAAGAAGCTTCGCAGTCTGTACCCCACCCCTAATCCCACGGTGATTGCCAGGCCCTCACCTTGCACTGGGTCTAAGCCATCCCAGAAGCTGGCCCCACCTCCAGCTCCTAAGGTGGCCAGTGTGTGTCCCAGCAGGAGGAAGTGGGGCCTGGGGCTCAGGAGACAGCTTTTTAGGCCTGGCTTTCCTAACAACCAGCGGTGTCACTACTGCCTCTTGGACTTTAGTACTCTTAGCTACAGAGCGGCTCTCATACCCAGCCTGGCTAGCCCACAAGGCCACCTGCAGCAAATGAGAGCCAGGTCACTGTAAGAATGTCCCTGCAACTCCAACCTCCCTGCTCACACCTCTCAGATTCGACCAATGCTTGCTGAGCATCTCCTATGGGCAAGGCATTTTAACTATGGTATCTCATTTAAGCCTGCAGAAATTTTATGAAATAGACATTATTATTACTATTATTATTTTACAAATGAGAAAATAAAGGCTCCAAGAGATTGTCCAAAGTCACACAGCTGGTCCTCCCACTCTGTGACCAGCAATCTTTCCAGTAGAGCCAGCTGCCTTCTCCCACAAACCAAGAACTTTTAGGCTGACTAGTGGGGTCTGTGAGGAGCGAGGGACCCACTCACGTTCAATGAGGAAGAGGAAGGTGATGACACCCATGATGGCGGTAATGATGCCAGGCACAACAAACGACAGGCCCCACTGCCCGTTCACCCAGATGCCAGCAATCAGGGAGCCCAGGATGTTCCCCACAGATGTGTGGGAATTCCAGATGCCCATGATGAAACCCCGCCTGGAAGGGAGGCAGGGAAGGGAAGAGAGTAGAAAAAGTAAAAAGCAAAGCACATTGTTCATAGCAACTGCCCCAGCCAAGCTCTAAAGCTGGGCTGACTACAGTTTCTCTAAGTCACCAAAGACTGAGACCCGAAGCCCCGAGTCGGCAAGGGTGGGAGACCTTGGGTGGGCCAAGCAGGTGGCTGCAGGGCCTGGGGTCTCGCTCCCCCTGTCCAGCTCCCTGAGTGAGCGCCGATGGGAGCTCTAGCCATACTGAGGGTATGGGGACCCAGCTGTCGTTCTTCTTTTTTGTCCCACGATCTCACTCTAAAGCACTGTCCTCAACCAGGGGCAATCCTACTCCCAAAGGACATCTGGTAACAGCTAGAGATTTTTGATGGTCACAGCTCGAGTGTTCTATGGCATACAGTGAGCAGGTGCCAGGAAGGCTACCACTAAACAGCCTGCAGTGGCAGGACAGTCCCCAAACAAGGGTCCAATGGCCCAGAAGGTCAGTAGAGTCAAGGGTGAGAATCCCTGCTCCAAAACAGCTCTGCTTTGTTGCTTTGCACACAAGCCAATTCAAGCGGGGAAAAATAAAAAACAAAGTTTTACAGCGTCTTTTTGTCTTCGTTCAAAATAGAAATTATTATTAGAAAAAAGTATAACTAAAGTTGCCTGCTCTATGAGTTCAAGCCTCATCAATGAGAAAATCAGCATGGCGTTCAGCCACTTCTCAGCATGTGCAGAATAGCAACACGGAGGCCGTTTTCTGACCCTTCCCTCTGAAATTACATCAGAGGCCACAGTGACCAGATCCCGACCCCCAGCCCTCCAGGTCCTTCCCGCTCCTCCTGTCTTGTCACTCACTTCCCCTTCCCGAACCAGTTGCCGACGCAGGTCACCACAGAGGGCCAGCCTGTGGTCTGGACGAGTCCATTACAGACCTGCAGGGAGAGGGAAGGGAGGGTGGGAACAGGCCTGGGCTGTGCAGCCGGCTCCCTGCTCTTACTGCCCTGGGCTGAGGAGGTTCAGTTTCATGGCTGAGGAGCCCTCCACACCCCACACTACAGACCTTGCCCTACCCTCACACACACACCACACGCACCCCAATGTCATGAGCTGGCTTCTCTCGCTCAAGATTATCCAAGCAGAGACCAAGCCTCTTGTGCATCGGAGGTGACCACAGCACGGCGGTCGAGGCCAACTCTCCGAGTGAATAAATGTGGGGGCAGCGGGGCTGGGAGGTGGAAGGCAGTGCAGGGTAATAGAGAGCACCAGACAGGGAGCCAGGAGCCCAGGCCTCCATCCAACAAGAGCTGCAGCCTCCCAAGTCCTTCCCAAGATGGGAACACAGGCCCAAGTGCAAGATGGAGACTCATACCTGGATGACCACAAAGTACCAGAGCACATGGATGTTCCAGAAATATCCCAGGCCAAAGAGCGAGGTGAAAAGGCCACTGAGCAGCATTCCAGCTGAGAGGTAGTAACGGAGTGGAAGCCGCTCCCCAAACACCCCACTGGGGAAGAGAAAGTTGGATCTGCAGTTAACCTCCTCTGTGTCCACCTCAACTCCCTACCGTGTTTCTGCCCCCACCACGCTAGGGAGTGGCTCTGGCCAAGGTCCCACCAATGACCTCTGTGTTGCCATGTGACAGGGCCAACCTCTGTCCCCCACTGCTGTTGTGACACCTGGCCATCCTCTGCGGATTTAGCATGCCCGTCTTCCTCCCAGTTGGCCAGCCCCTCCCCGTCATGTATTTTCCTCTCAGAGCCCTCTTTTGCATCACTTTTACAATTTTCACAACCACCCATAGGCTACATGGCCCCACGTGCACATCCTCAGGCCTGATCTGTCTCCCAGAGCTTCACAGTCACAGCCAGATGCCTCCTGGACACTTATTCAGAAGCCCCTGGGGCATTTGAAACCTAGTGCTCTAAAGCTGAATTCCTCCTCTTCCTCCCGCCAACTGCCCTGATGCCTTCATCGTCTTGTCACCCTCATCTGAGTGAATGCACCCCTTGGCCACTCAAGCCAGACTCAGAGCTCCCTCAGCCTCCGGCCTCTCCTCCCCACCCCTCACCTTCAGTCTCCAAGACTCACCAGAGTACCTCTTAGCTAGTTCTCCAGCATGTCGCCTCTTCCACCTCCATCACCACTGTAGTAACGTAAGCTTGACAGCTTGGGCTGTCGTCAAATTGGTCCCTCTGTGTGACCAGTCTCATTCACCTCAGCATCACTCTTAGAATGAGCTCTCAGAAATGCCCATCTGGACGGGCGCCCTGGCAAAAACCCTTCCATGCATCTCTGCCCATGGACCTCATGTGCAAATGACCTCAGCCCTCAGCCCTGCTGCTACCTTCCTTAAATTGTGACTCCCTTACATACACCTGCTTGCCGTTCCTCCTGCAGGTCATGCTGCTCTTTCACGTTCACCCTACTTGCTCGTGCTATTCCTTTTGCTCAGGTCTCCATCTCTACCACCACACCCAAGGCTCCCGCATCACGTCAGGCATCATCTCATCCAAGAAGCCTTTTCTGACCCCTCTGCTCTAGCTCAGCTTGGACTGAGTGATGACCTCGGAGCTCCCAGAACACCGGATGGCCACCATTGTCATGGAGCCGTCACAGTTTTGGCACTAGCTGCTGATGCATCCATTGCCCCCATTAGCCTGTGAGCTCTTTGGAGGAAGTATGCATCCATATTGATCTTGGATTCCTTGCAAGGAACAGCATGCTTGCCGTGCTGCTTTGGACACAGCAGATGGGGATTCTCCCAGCTATAGGTGCATGCAGGGCCATCCTTAAAGGGTCCCAGTCCACACCCACCAACTGTGATATCTGAGTGAATAGACTCAGAAGCAACATCCAGAAAAACCTTTCCAAGCACAAGAACTGCTACCAGTGGGAGTCTACCAGGCAAAGGAGCAGCCTCTGGGACGGCGGTAAGGCAGGAAAGATGGCTGAGGGCGGACTGCATGTGCAGCAGTCCGGGTCTCATTCCCACACGGGGGAGCCATCACTCCCTGGTGGGAGCTCGCGTCAACCCAGCTCCCCCAGGTTCCTCCAGGGGAGGCAGCAGCTCTAAACCGTCCTCCTCTTGGTCACAGGCTCAGCCTCTGTCCTTACCTGATGAACATGCCGATGGCATAGGCCACGAGAAAGGCATTGTCCACGGCCCCAAGTAACTCCTTGTAGTTGTCCTTATCTGAAAGCAGATGGGAGAAACAGAAAGCTGACTGCTGGCTGCCCCTGCAGGAAGGCCTCCCTGGACAGCCCCTTCTCGAGGAAGAGGGAAATGGGGAGTGGGAAGAGCAAGTTGCCCTGTTCTTACCAAAGGGGGCCCAGCTGCACCACATGGTGTCATTGAGACTGCGAGTATCGTTGATGGGTCTGACCTGCTCCGAGCAGTTCTGGTGCAGGCGGCTCTGGAGAGGCAATGGGACCCACAGGTCAGGGGTTCAGGGGTCGACCCAGAGGGGAGCAAGCAACTGCCTGCCCCAACCATACTGGTGACACTGCCTCCTACCAGATTCCATGTTCCCCCTGCTGGCACCTCCTCCTGCAGGAACTGGCTGCAGGGGAAGGTGGTCACATCAGACCCATGAGTGCATCCACGTAGCCCAGAGGCCCTGCCCTCTTATTCTATCTGCAGCCACCAACACACCTGCCTTGGGGAATAAACTGAAAAGGAGCCCCTGGGGAAGAGAGCTGCGGAGAGTGGGAGCCTGCCAGTTGAAGGTGCAGCCTTGGGGCCACCGTGAGGGTAAGGACGGTTATGATATGGGCTTCGGCACTCCTCCTTGCTGCCAGCCTAGCCTCACCTTGACGATACTGATGGGCTTCCTGGACATGTGATAGCAGGTATAAATGAGGAAGGTCAACAGCAGGATGAAGCCTTGGAACCTGCAGGAAGGGACGGCATCTGTGTTAGTGGGAAGTTGGCCCCGGCTGGAAGTTCTGGGCTGGCATCTATCTGCTGCCTCCCTCCGTGACCCCTCTGAGCACCACCAACTTTTTCTTTCTTGGTGCAGAGGCCAAGGGGAGGCTGGGAAAAAAATGCCCAGAGGCCAGAGGGTGCTCAGGGGGACCTGTCTCCCTGCCCCAACTCCTGAGGCCTCTGTTGGAACCCAGCCCATGGGAAGCGCCTCCACCTGCTCTGAGCAGCCGGCAGCACCTCTGCTTTTCGACTGCCTCCCTGAGGTCAGAGCGCCTGTGTGTGTGCCTGTATGGCAGAGGTGGGGGCGGGGAGTTCGAATCATTTTCACATGTCTGAAATGATGGGGGTAGGAGGGAGACTGAGTCTGGAGAAAGGTCTGTTTTTAAAGTGAGGTCGACACTCCTCTGAAGCTTAGAACAGGGCAGACACAGCACCTTATTTAGCCAGGCTGTAGTTGGAAAGGAGACGGCAGTGGGATAGCTGGTGACAGACCCAAGCCCTCTCCCTAGTCCCAGTCCGTCCATCCCACTGGACACAGCCCATTCTTTCCATCTGTGGCTCACACACACGTGCCCTCTCCCACCTCTTACATATCATCCCATGCCCTGGCCCGGGACGGAAAGAACAGTCCAGCTGGGTGGCACTCAGCGTTTCCACTGCGCCCCGGCCACTCCCCTCTCCTGAGGCCTGGGGAAGGGCCCCAGAACCCTGCTGAGTCACTGTCTGCTTCCCTACCATAGTTAAGGGCCAGGACATGTATGGAAAATCGGCCTCAGAGTGGAGCCCCAGCCCAGAAGGGGCCAGGTGTTAGGCACGACCTAACACCAGTGAAGAATTCAGGGAGAAGGGTCAGGTAAAAGGGTGGAAGGACTCCTGAACCATTTCTGTCCTGGCCCCAAGAGCCCAAGAGCAGGACACTGGATGCTCCCTCTACCTAGGAATCCTCTTCCACACCCCAAACCCACTTCCCCCAAATGTGGCATGAAGCAAAACCCAATACCACTTGGGAAATAAAAGGGCATTTCAGCGAAGCCTGAATGGGGCTTGGGCTATGAGGCTCCTTCTCACTTTGCCCCTGGATCGAGCTTCCTACCTGGGTCCCCACAATCTGTCTTCCTGAGAAAATGAAGTTGCTCACGCCCCTCCACAGCTCTGCTTAAATGCTTTCAGTGCCTTTCCATCCCACCCTGCATGAAGGTGCAACAGTGTAGTCTGGATTGCAGGCGGCTACACATCCCCGGCTCTTGGCCTCCCTAAGGCTCATGGGAGGGTCACAGAGGTCCTCTAGGGACTCAAGTTGTCCAGGGAAGCTGGGGCTACTCCAAGTGCCTGTCATAGTGACTGACATGGCAAGCTTGTGGCCGCAATGTTTTCCGGGTTCCACCTGTTGCCATATGGCTCATGACTCTTAGTTCAGGGACTTCTAGAATCTGAGGGAAATCCTCTCAGAGGCTTTGAAGAGGTTTCCCAGCTGGCGTCTGCAAAGAGCAATGGATGGAGGAGCCCTGCAGCCCTACGGATAACACCCAGCAAGCCCTGCCTGAGACGCAACTGGTTCAGGGAGAGGCGGGAAGTTTTGCGTGATGCCGCTCACTAATTGCGTGTGTAAATTCCCATGAGTTCTTAACCCTTTTTTTTTGCCTCTGGTTTCCTATCAGTTGCACGTGGCTGCCAGTATCAACTCCATCTGTCCCTCAAGATAAGAGAACACAGCATGAATCTCCCCTAGTCCCCAGGTCCTGGTTATGCTGCCTGTAAGACGTCCCGGTCAGCAGAACCAGATTTCATGACCACATGTATGTTCAAGGGCCTTTGCCAAGATGTTTGGCCACTGACCATGGTGACAGGTCCTCTCAGTGTCTGAAAGATCCCTGGGGACCTGAGGCCCCACTGGGGTCCCAGCTGTGACTGTTCTTCCATCACAGGCTCGGCAGTGAAGCCCTTGCTGGCTACATAGTCCTGGTGTCCACTAGGAAGCCAGGCTGTTCCACAGTCACGCTGAGCCCTCCCAGGGCTGGTCAGAGCCAATGGGGGCCCAAAGGCACAGTGAGCTGCCAGCACCCCTTCTCCTCCCACCCCACTCCCCCAACCACACTGGATCAACCCCAGCCCGCCCTCCCTGACACCCCTGCCTATGGCCCCAGGTGTTCTTCCTCATCTGCTCCATGGCCCTTTTGTCTGGAGTCCTGTCCCCGCCAACCTCAGTAGCAGGAGCTGTGCCCATTTCTAACATGTCCATTTCCTTGGGCAGAAGCGAGGCTGCTCTCCCATGCATCCCTGTGCCCATCCTGCACCAGGCACCATGCCACGGTCCAGTACTAACAAGAGAAGCCGTAAGCAGGATCTCCACCTGCTTGGGCTCACAGGTCAGAGGGAGACAGACCTAGTGTGATGGTGCTGTAGGAGACAGCCCTAGATGACACAGAAGAGGGACTCTGAGCCAGCAGGAGGGAGCAGTCAGGATTCCTGGAGCTCAGGCTTCAAAAACAAGCAAGATGAGGCCAAGTCAACCAGAGCCGGGGCAGGAAGGACTGCCAGGGGGAGGAAGCAGCGTGCACGAAGGCATGGAGGCGTGAAATGACACTACCTGTTTGGGGAACTCTGCATCGATCAGGATATCTGGAAGGTGAAACTGAGCCAAGCAGAGGAGCAGAGGTGGCTGGGAAGGGCAGGGGCCTCAGGTGGCATGGCGCAGGGCCTCAGCTGCCAACCTGTGGCATTTAGGCTATCTCTGGAGGTGATGGGAAGCCACTGAAGAGAGTAGGAGTTTCCAGGTCGGCGGCTCTGAACCCACGCCACCCTAAGCGGTGAAGACCCAGGGCTGTGCCCTATAGGTTTTGGTGGGAAGCACAGACAGGCTTCCTCACTGAGGCACAGGGCCAGTTCCCTGGGCCTTTTTCATCCTGCCAGCCACTCCTAGGCACATGGCAGCATCATAGGGGACCCTAAGTAGTGATGTCAGGGAGTTGTCTGTAAGAGAAAAGAGCAAGGGCTTAGAAATTGAGCAAAAGCTGGTTTTATTCCTTACATCTTTTTGCTCATTAGAAAACCAGAGTCTATCATCTTTCTCAGAACTACTGATGGGTTAGTGAGATGCATCTAACAGGTCTGAAATTGTTCCTGATGCCCAGTGGGCACTTAGATGACAGCTAGTGTGTTTTTAATCTTCAGATGAGGAAGAAGGGCTGGAGGGGTGAAGGCAGCCCACAGTGCTCTGTTAGGGGAGCTGAGTGGGGTCAGAGGCTGAACCAAACTCCTCTGGGAAGTGGAGGTTCCAGGCCCTGGATTTACGTGGAAGGTAGAGATGTGGCTGTTAGCCTGTCCCCCTCCTCCCCACCTCCTGCTGTGCATAGCTGGGTCTAATGAACATAAAGATCCTCTGAAGCTCCTAGAGCCCTGGCCTTGCCTATGGTGGGCTCTAGGGCTTCTTGGGGAGCCAACAGTGGGACATAGGGGAGACTCTAGCCCCAGGGCCCTCCCACCTGCTCCTGTGGGCAGACAGGAAGGTCAGCAAGGGTCCCCACTTGCATCCTGACCTGCTAGGTTCCAAGATTCCAGCCCTGCCCTCCTCTAGGCGGTGGCCTGATGTCCCTGCCAGCTTTCACCCCAACTCCTAGAAACCCACCACCTGGGATCCCCCATGATGCTGCCAGTAGAAAAGCTGATACCCAAGACAGCAGGAGAGTCATGAGTCTGGGGTACAAGGGGTCCTCAGCTGTGTTGTGTGATAATAGGACTGGCCCTGGCCTCTTCTGGGACTTCCGTCCTGGCCCAGAGGGTGGAGGGATGAACTAAAAGTCACAGCACTCGGTGGGCATGGCACAGCTGAAGCTGGGCCTCCTCCGAGTCTGGTGCTCTATCCACTCCCCATTGCCGGGTGTTCTAAGAGAAAGGTGCCATGGTTCACAGGAGACTGAGAACTTCAGTCAGGTTAAGGCTAGACGGAGGCCCAGGCTGCCAAGCTCACGTTAGCTTCAGGAAGGCAGCTGTGACACACTCCTTTCATGTTTAGAACACGCAGGTTTCACTTCTCCTCTCACCAGCTCTCTCCTCGTGAATCAAGAGGTCCCAGAAGAGAAGCAGGGCACAAAATATGCACAGCCAGGCGTTGCCTCACTGTCCCCAGGCTGGCTGTGACAGGGAGGATGGCGGCCTAGGGGTTGGGCCAGGCTGGGCAAGTAGGCCAAGGACCAAAGGACGGACAGGAAGGCCCCTGGCTGCTTCAGATTGGACGGCTGTCCTGTGACCCTCTAAGACTTTGTTAGCAAGAGGTAGCACTTCTCGGAGTCTCACCTACCCCCCACCGGATACTGGTTACTGAATAACCAAGTTAGATAGAGAGGTCGACCAGCTATCTCCTAACAATTAGCTGACAGTCCAACTCACTCTTTCGAAGGAATGTGATAATAGCTTTATTGATCTTGTTGAGACTTTGCACTAGGAATGCTTCTGGGGTCAAATCAATAAACAGTGTGTCCCAAAGCAGCAACAGATTAGAAGCAAACAAACAAAACCCCTAGAGGACCAACTGCCACCAACCGCAACACAAAAACCAAGAAACAGCCCAGCAGGGGAACGCTGCCCCAGGAGATGTCAGCCCCCTTTCCCTGGGGGCTCCCTAGTCATCCCCCAGTCCCAGGCTGGGCTGGCTGTGGCTGTAGGTGACCTTGGCACTTGCCCTGAGAAAATGGACTCAGTGGCCTCTTCTCGGATGTGCCTGTTCTGAGACTCAGCAGATCTGGAAAGGATAGGGGGCTGGGCACAATAAGAACCAAGCTAGGGCCAATGGTGACAGGGCCCCCTCCCCTGACCACGCCCTCCACCAGCACTGGGAGATACCCTGCTAGGAAAAGGCCAGCCAGGAACAGATACCACAGGAGCAGAGCCCTGAGCCAGGCCTTCAGCACACAAGACAGGACAAGCCCTCTCTGGGAGGCCCAAAGCTCTCCCCAGGCAGCAGCCAGTC